TTTCTGAGCCTGGCTTTTGTTCCACTTAGTCATGGCTCCAAATCTAGAAGTTACGAAATGGCTCTAGTCTTCAACATCCATTAATTTAATGTAAAATGTATATTTAAGTAAGGTTTGAAAAGAACATCCCGAGGAGCTTGTCCCTGGAGAGCTCTTAGTACTTTCAAGTCCAGCTTCTCTTGAGTGAGCCCTCCCTGTGGTATTCTCTGGCTCACTCCCTCTTGCTATTCAGATTTTACCTTTAGACTTCCTGCCTCAAAATGGCCTACCTGCCCACCATCCCTGAGGAGATCTCCCTAATTTGGGCATGCGTGATATATGCATATGTGCCCAATAATTTTCTTCCTAAATTTTTTTTTTTTTTGTAGGTTATATTTTCTCCCACTGGGCTCTAAGTTCCAAGAGACCCAAGACCTTGACTGTCTTACTCACTGTATATCGGCAGTTCTAAGTACAGACTGAATGCTCAGTATTTGCTGAGAGAATGATTTTTCCAGAAGGTAGAATAATTAAATAAAACACTCAAGTGTAAGAAGACAATTGAAAGCTCTGCCTGTAACCTGCTTGACTTTGTTGTAGAGTCTGTTCTTGAGTGCTGGAATGTTCTAGGATTTCTCGCAATTGCTATTGGTATGTAATCTACAAATTTAGAGTCAGGAATACAGAAATAAATGCTGGAGCTTTGGAATGATTCTCTTAAAATTAAATTTTATTTATTTATTTTTTAAAGATTTATTTATTTATGCATATAAGAGCTGGGCTGCAGGCCACAAGTCTGGGAGGTGACAGTATTCACCAGAGACAGAGTGGGGAACAGAGCAGGCAGACTGAGTGAAATACATCGCTGAGGGGAGCAGCAGGCGAGGCAGGAGAGGTCTGCTGCTCCATGTGGGTTGCTCTCTGGCTGGGGATCAAACTCATGCTGCAGAGACTTCAGATTGCTTCATAGTGCAGTGCTTAACCCCTTGCACCACCAGGGAGGCCCTTAAAATTAAATTTTGTTTGATTTTTTCAATAGATAAGGTATACACTTAGCGTAAAAGTTGGAGATACATAGATTATATATTAAGCAGTAAGATTTCTTTTCATCCTTATCCCCAGGAATCATCTAGTTCCCTTCCCCAGAAGCATCCACTGTGAATCAATTCCAACAGAATAGTCTGTTATAAATAGCTCTGTGTGTGTGTGTGGGTATGCACATAATATATATTTACATAATCCTTTGACATTGGTTTATTTTTTTTTTTTAGCAATATAGCACATTTCTCAATAATTGGATAGGATTCCAGTGCATGGATTTATTTATTTGCTATTCATTCTTTCTTTCCTCCTTTTATTATTATGAAATATGTGCATGACATAGGCATTGTTTTTATGCCCTGCAGATGACAAAACTGAGTTACCGAGAGGTCACGTTTTTCTCTAAGCCACATCACTTGTGTGTAGCAGAGCCTGAATTTGAATCCAAGCTGAAACTTTTGAGTAATTCTTTGCCTCAGTTGCCCACCGCACTGCAAACACGCCTCATCCTGAGCACACAGTGGTGGGCATCTCAGTGAGGAAATCCTTGGAACTAGTCCTTAGA